GATGGTACTATATTTGGTACTGGATTAAGGAATTAAAATAAAATTCTGAAATTTAATATTTAGATTGCTGATGGCACCTGTGTTTGAAATTTAGTTGGAATCCACAAATTTGATATTAAGGTCTCTGTTGGTATTTGGAATTGAGGTATGGAGATGGTTTTGGAAGGGGTGTGATATAATGTTACGAAAAGTACTGAATGGTACTTGGGTATTGAGTGAAGAGAAATATCTCTAATCTCGAAAGTTCATATTGAAGTCTCTGTTGGAGATGGTTTTGAAAATGTGTAGCATCATTGTACGAAGAGTACTAAATAGTACTGAATTTGTTATCGGGCGACGTGATCGGGCTGGAATCCTTAAATGTAAAAGTGGGGTCTGTGTTCGCATCTGGAATTGAGATATGGAGTTGTTTTTGGAAAGGTGTACTGTAACTGTACGAAAAGTACTAAATTTAATATTGGGTGAAGGAATGGATTCAACATACAGAACTTTGATGTAGACATTGGTGATATGGAACGCCATTGCAAAAGAATACAAAAATTATACGAATGGTACTAAATGGTATTAAATTTGGTATAGGGTGAAGTAAAAGAGCTTACATCTTAAAATTTGATATGAATGCCACTTTTGTTCTCGATTATTGAGGGAAGTAGCTGGCTTTGGATATGCGTACTATATTTGTACTATATGGTACTAAATTTGGTAACAGGGGATATTAAAGAGCTGTGATCCTGTAATTTGAAATTAAGGTCACTGTTGGTATCTGTGGTAGATATATGGAGAAGAGAACTAAATGTTACTAAATTTCGTATTGCGTGATGGGATATAGCTTAAAATCTGAATCTTGATATGGAAGTCAGTGTTGGTATACAATTTTGAGAGAAAGAGATGGATTTTGTAATGCGTACTATGATTGTTCGAAAAGTACCAAATGGTACTAACTTTGCCCTTGAAAGTTGATATTTAGGTCACTGTCGGTTTGTAGGGTTTACATATGGAGACGAACAAATTGTACATTTTATTACCAAAAAAGTAAGCAAATTCTATAGCCGTGCGGGGCCGACCATGTGATACCCTACAACACTACAACATGTTAGAAGCCCCTTTATGTCCAAAACTATTTTGGAAGATTTCGCTTTTGAAATTATGTTACGGAACACTGCCCAGATATTATCCTTAGCTTTGTGACCAGGGACATTTGCCCAATATATACGCACTCCATCGTGCTGTTAGTTGTTGTGGTCCATTTTACAGCTATATATATAATCCACTGGTCATCCAAAATGCTAGAATTCTTCCCTGTCCTTATCTCTCTTCTCAGGCGTGTCGATTGGCTTCTATTGTGTGATCAGGAAATTTTTTCTGTTTTTGGTTCATTTAAACCCCTCAATATTTTGCGATCATGTAAGTAATGTTGGAATTTTTTCACACAAAAGTGGTAGTCCATTCTTCCGCTGTCCTAACTCTAACTTCATTCGAGTTTTCGTGTCTTTTGGTTACTATTTGTGACCTTTATAACGGAACAAAATCAGGAACATTTTTAGTTGTTGGTCCATTTCAACACCCAAACATCTATGAAAACAATAGATCTAGCCCTTCTGAGCCTAAAACGTGCGAAAATTTTCGTGAGGATCGGACGATAATTGCAATCTGTATATAATAACCCCAACCTGTATTGTAAGTTGAAAAAATATTGCAAAATATTCACAAAAAATAAAAATATGTCACATAATACTTCAAAATCTATATTAGCATCATTATAAAAAGCCTAACACCAACTGTAGGAACGAATCGAAAATTTTAAGGTGGACTTTTCGCTGACGTAGTAGCGGGCACTTGCTAGTAGGAAACAAACACAAAAACATCGCCTAGGTTCTCGTTTTATTACCAGTCTCGAAACTGATTATAAGTTTCACCAGAACTGATCGAAATTTTCAGAAAGATCACATAGATAGTACGTACGTTTTCGTACTTCCCCGAAATTGTCATATGCCACTTTTGGTTCCCGTGGAGGTACGAGGAGGTGGACCCAAAAGGGTCGTGTAAATTTTGACCAGTTCCAGGAAAAGTACAAAAACGTCGACCTGTTGGGGATCCATAGCTTACCTTTTTTGGAAATCTTGACTAAAGGGAAATTGTCACTGATTCCTAAACATCTCTTTTATAGTCCGACTCCAGTTACATTCGCTCTGCCTTTCTCTTGCTCTAATTTAAACATGCTCTCCAACCCACATTTATTCCCAATTTGACTCCCAAATTATTATAACTCGGAGGTGGACAATATCGGTCTACTCCTTCTGGACCCTCACTCACTTCTTCTGGTACCTCCACAATTTTCACAGAATATAATCAAATCTTAATATTTGGATCAGAGCTATGTCAAGTGCAAAAATGGACAGTATCGACCCACTTTATCATGCACCTCTCCCACAAAGGGTCAACATCTATGTATATAAAAAGTTATATTAATTACTACGCTTATAAGTCGAGAACGGATGGTCTGATTTCGCACCATTGTCAGGCAGAAGAGGATTAAATCCAAAAAATAAGTCAATAAATGTGTGAATAGAAATATATTTATTTTTCTATTTTTTTTATATCGCATGAGATTTTTTATACCCCCCACTATAGTATAGAGGGTATATTGAGTTTGTCATTCCGTTTACGACACCTCGAAATATACATTTTACACCCCACAAATGTATATATTCTAAATCAGTATAAAAATCTATGTCCATATAGCGATGTTCGTCCATCTGTACGCCTGTATAAGGTTTTGGTCACAATTTTAAACCAAATTTGCCGAAAATTGGCAGCATATTTGCGCACTATGTAAAAATATCTTTGCCTAGAACTATCCAATGTAATTCAAGTTTTGATACAGTCCCCATATAACTGTACCTCAAGATATTCGGCATTTTGATAAGTTGTTTCGCACTTTTAACCGGAAATGTTTCAAATTTGTAATTCGGAGTTCCTACTGGGTACTAAATCCTATGACAGAAAATTTTAGGCCTACATCTTCGTGTAGCCAAACAAACAAAAATGACTGACAAAGCTGTATGGGGCTCATACTAAGTCGTAGACCTACTTCTGTCATATGGTAATAATCCGTGTAATGAGAACTCAAAATGCAAATATAAAAGGGGAAATACAATATGCGGTCTAAACAAAATAGTAAAGCGAATAGGAAATTTAAATGGGTGTACCCCGATTTCAAGTATAGCCATATGGCTACAGAGATATCTATCATTTGATACGGTTTAAACGTGCCTCATCAAAATAACGGTCTTAGACCCTTGGTCCCTTTGTACAAAATCAGTTTCAGAACTAGGATGGTGCGCACGATAACTCTCAAAGGCAGTATTCGATTTTGTCCAAACTTTGTCCATCCCAATATTATTATCAAACTTAGATCGAGTTCGGAGATGGACAAAATCTTTCCACTCCTTCCGGTACTTCCGCCCACAAAATGTAAAAATGTTCAAAAAAAAATATTTTACTGCACCGAAAGAAAATGGATACTTTTGCAAATCCTAATGTTTGTACAAGTGCTACGTCAGGTGCAAAATGGACAATATCGTTGCACTACATCGAGTACCTCCCACACAAAGGGTCACAATTTTCAAACGTTTATCTGAAAAAAAAAATGAAATAATTAGAACTCTTATAAAATGCGAAACAAGAGTCTGATTGTTTTCAAATTATACACATCTCAATACTTTTATTAACGCAAGGCCTGGTGTGAAGATGAAATACATGGGTTTATTCCTTCTGGAACCTCCCCCACTAATGGCCAAAGTTTTGAATATCCATGAAGATCATAAAACTCAAAATTAACATCCGATTCCATTCAGACTTGGCACATCTCAATATTTCTATCAACACAAGATCTGTTATAAAAATGGTACAGATCGGACCATTCCTTCTGATACCTCCCCCATAAGGAGTTAAAGTTTTGAATAAACAAAACTATTATAAAATCCGAAATAAGCATACGGTTCTCTTGAAATTTGCACATCCCATTATTTGTACCAACACAAGATCTACTATGAAAATGTGATATATAGGTGCACTCCTTCTGATACCTCCCCCACAAAGGGTCAACAGTTTGAATAACCTAAATGATCATAAAACCCGAAATTAACATCCGATTCCATTCAGACTTGGTACAACTCAATATTTCTATCAAAGATGGTAGAGGTCGCAACATTTCTTCTGGTACCTCCACCATATAGTGCTCAAAATTTTGAAAAACAAAAAACGAAATAAGCACCCAACTCTCTTCAAATTTCAAACGTAGGGTAACAATTTTCAAACGTTTATCTGCCATAACTTGCTAAACAAGTCGGCGATAATTTGCAACTTGCTATGTCTAAATATTTCTCTGAACAAGAGACCTGAAATGAGTTTGGAATTTATGATTTCGCTTAATATAGAATATAAATGCTCGATTTTTTTTATAATTTTTCCCAATATGTTTATCTGTATTAGGTGAAGTATAAAAATGGAATAATTCGGTCGACTATATTTGGTACATTATGCACATTTCAGCATTTTCTACAAATTATCACATATCTCATACACACTTCGCAATATTTATATCATATTTATTTATGTCCGATACGAAATGGACAATATTGGCCCATTCCTTCGGAACCTACTCCATAGAGGGTCAAAAATTTGAATAATCATAACAGAAGTTAAAACATATTTAAATAATACACATCTGAGGGTAGAGATCTGTCGGTAAAACCGACTGATACTTTTTTATAGCATTATCAAAACATGTTACTACATAAGCTTATTTCAAAATGGCTATTTCTATATTTTAAAAATATTTAGGTTTCCTATTAGATTCCTTGTATAATTATACTATATAATTAGTTTTTATATTTGATGTTGATATATCGAAAATAAAGGCGATTTTCTTTCCTAAGTTTCATATTGCGCCAGGGCATTAGAGTTCATTGGTTTCCCATGGACTGCAAATTTAATTCTCAATTCTCAAAAGATTTTAATGTAAAATTGCCCCGAGATATCGGAGAGGAGTAGTTCTGCCATGGACGCCAGGTAAAGTTCGCCCAGGGTTTTGACGTTATATTCATCCACGGCATGGGAGTGGAGAAGTTTTCCCATGAACTCCAGGTAAAATTCTCCCAGGGCTTTGTGGTCATGTTCATCCAAGGCATAGAAGTGGAAATGTTATCCCATGCACTCCAGGTAAAGTTCCCCCAGGGCTTTGTGGTCATGTTCATCCACGGCATCGGAGTGGAAAAGTTCTCCCATGGACTCCAGGTAAAGTTCTCCCAGGCTTTTGTGGTCATGTTCATCCACGGCATCGGAGTGGAAAAGTTCTCCCATGGACTCCAGGTAAAGTTCTCCCAGGCTTTTGTGGTCATGTTCATCCACGGCATCGGAGTGGAGAAGTTTTCCCATGGACTCCAGGTAAAGTTCTCCCAGGGCTTTGTGGTAATATTCATCCATGGCATGGGAGTGGAGAAGTTTTCCCATGGACTCCCAGTATAATTCTCCCAGGGTTTTAAGGTCGTATTAACCGAAGGCATCGAAGTTGTGAAATTTTCCCATGGACTCCAAGTGTAATTCTCCCAGGGTTTTGGGGTCGTATTAACCCAAGGCATCGAAGTTGTGAAGTTTTCCCATGGACTCCAAGTATAATTATCCCAGGGTTTTAGGGTCGTATTAACCCAAGGCATCAATGTTGTAAAGTTTTCCCATGGACTCCAAGTGTAATTCTCCCAGGGTTTTGAGGTCGCATTAACCCAAGGCATCGAAGTTGTGAAGTTTTCCCATGGATTCCAAGTATAGTTCTGCCAGGGTTTGAAAGTCGTGTTGTCCCAAGGCCTCGAAGTTGTGAAGTTTTCCCATGGACTCCAAGTGATATTCTCCCTGTGTTTTAAGGTCGTATTCACCCAAGGCATGAGAGTAGAGTAGTTTTCCCATGGATTCCAAGTATAGTTATCCCAGGGGTTGAAAGTCGTGTTGTCCCAAGGCATCGAAGTTGTGAAGTTTTCCCATGGACTCCAAGTATAATTTTCCCAGGGTTTTATTTTCGTAGTGTCCCATGGCATGGGGGTAGAGTACTTTTCCCATGGACTCCAGATAAAATTTGCTAAGGTTTTTAGTATTTTTCTTTTTTCCGCATTTTTATATTGCTCTGCATTGTTTTCACCAACTACGATATAGCCATTTGTCTAAAAAAAGAAAAACAAAAAAGTTTTTATTACAATATTACATTTAACTAAATAAAACTTACAAAAAGTTTGTTGTAGCAAAATACAAAAATTATTAACCAAAAGAATGTCAATGCCCTCATGATCGCCTGATAACTGCCGCACACTCTTCATAAAATCAAATCGCTTGCTAGTTTTTGAATCGAAAGCATATCAGTGATATCAATGGGTTCCATGATATCTCGCACATTTGTCTTTTTTTCTGTGAAGTGTAGATTAAATTGTCACTTTGATATATTGTTAACTTAAATATGGGCGACCGAAACGAAATTAATGTACCCTCTTTAATGACAAATTATATGGTTTCTTTAAACTGTTTGAAATAGTTTTTTTTCTGAAAATTTAAACGAATATTATTTATTTATTACTAATTTTTTATACCCTCAGCCTGGATACAGAGGGTGCATATCATTTGATACGGCCAAAACGTGCCTCATCGAAATAACAATTCTAGCCCCTAATTCACTTTAGACCAAATCAGCTTCAGGACTTTTAGAGTCGATCTAGGGATGTCTGTCTGGCTGTTGCACACGATAACTCTCGAAGGGAGTATCCAATTTGGTCCAAACTTAGTACATCGTAATTTTATTAACAAACTTAGATTGAGTTCGGAGATGGGCAATAGCGGTCCACTCCTTATGGTATCTCTCCCACAAAACGACAAAATGTTCACATATTTTACTGCGCAGAAAGAGAAAGGATGATCCGTTTTTGTTCAAACTTTACAAATCCCAACATTTGCATCGGTGCTACGTCAGGTGCGAAAATGGACAGTATTGGTAAACTCCATCAAGTACCACACCCATAGAGGGTCAAACTTTTAAATATCAATGAAACTCAAAAAACGCGAAATTAACATCCTATTCCATTCACACCTGGTTCATCTCGATATTTCTATATACACAAGATCCGTTATAAAAATGGTAGACATGGAACCATTCACTCTGGTACCTCTCCCACAAAAGGTCATCGTTTTAAATAACCAAAATAATCATAAAACCCGAAGTAAGCTCGCGAGTTACCTACAGCCACCAATAAACAACATTATTATTAAGTTCATTATTTTCAACCACAACCTCATTTATTAAAAACATCATTATTGTTAACACCATTATTATTAACATCATTATTATTAACATCATTATTATTAATATCATTATTATTAACATCATTATTAGTTACAACATTGTCATAAGCACCAAAGAGCTAACACCAATATTGTTGACATTATTTCGTCAGCAATAATTCTCCACTTCAACATCACAATAACAACACTAGTAATAAAACTATGACGGAAATAACCCAAAAAGAAATGTTTACTTTTACTGTACCCAATACAAATTTTTAGCTTAAGTATTTTTCTTGATAGCTCTAGATTTTATGTTCCTTTGTTCTTTGTTAACTCTAAGAAAAATCAATAATTGTAAAATCGCTTAAATATAAGAATTTTTTGAATAAAGCATCAGTTGTATTTGGCATCTAAAACAGAATAATTCTTGTTTTCTGATTTTTCGGCGGTACGGAAGTTAACTGGCGCAGTCGTACGGCCATTGTTGGTGCGGTCTTTCTCAAGTGAAAAAAAATATATAATTAAATAAATGTATCCTTAAAACAGGAAAAAAAAAACCCCAAAAAAAAAACAGTGACAAGTTAATTGTGGAAAAAACAGTGAACTATCCTTTAAAGGACATAAAAATTTTTTTTTAAGAAAAATTTGGTGAAGAAAAAAAATATATTAAATTAATTAGGCTTGACGGTATATCAAGTAATCCTTAAGGAGAAAAATCGTGCGCCAACAATCGGAAAAAAAAAGAACCTACGTCCGTACAACCGAGAAAATCAAGTGCCAATACAATATAGTATTTTGTTGAATGAATATCAACAATTTACTATAAGAAGAGAAGGAATATCTCTTAAATAAAAATATATATTTAAAATCAAAAATAATATTTTGTTGACGGAATATCAACAAATATAACCATCCAGAGAGAATTAATATCTTTTTGGTTGGAATAAATATTTAATAAAAATTGTTGAAGGAATATCAACAAATTATATCTTAAATAAAAAATATATATAAATTCATAAATAATATTTTGTTGAAGGAATATCAACAAATATTACCATCCAGAGAGAATGAATATCTTTTTGGTTGGAATAAATATTTAATGAAAATCGTTGAAGGAATATCAACAAATAATACGGTCATAGTGGATCAGATCAGATAAAACAAGGAAAAAAAACCAACTAACAAAAACAAATAACAATACAGTGAAGATCAAAAAAAAAAAGGAAAATCAACTAAAAATAACAATTAAAAAGTTAATAACATATAACAATAACAACAACCGTAACAAAAACGACAAAAAAAAAAAAAACTAAAAAAAAAAAAAAAAAAAAAAAAAACAAAAACAAGCAACAATTAAAACAACAAACAACAACTACAAGTGAAGAACAAGAAATAGTCCTGAAGCAGTCCATATCTACAAGCAACTTATACAGGTCACATCGGAGGAAAGAAGCAGATAAAAAAACCTTGGAAATCTACAATGAAATTATTTATAATGATAATACTAGGGTAATTATTTTAAGAAAATTATAATATTTATCACTATTATATTACTTTATAAAATATAAAACAGAAATAAGCAAAGAAATATTTCAATTATAAAGAAAAAGGCTAATCAAAATATCTCAAATCAATAAAAAGGGTAATTATATTAAATGCGAAGACTAAGACCAAGACCATATTCTATTCGATACTTAACTGCAATACCGGAACAACAAGAAATGACTACCGTTAATGACATTAGTGCCCCTCAGGCGCTACAATCTCAACAACCGTCACAATCCTCTCAAGCATACGAAACATTAAAAATTCCAGATGCCGTAAAAGATTTACCAACATTTAATGGAAATCCAAGGCAACTAAATGATTTTTTAGAAAACGTTGAAGAGATTTTAAGAATATTAGCGAATATCGATGGTTCTAACCAAGCAACAGTAGTGCTTAGAGCCATCAGAAACAAAATAGTGGGAGAAGCTAATGAAGTACTTAATTCATCCGGTACTCCGTTAGTTTGGGAGGTAATTAAAGTGAATCTAATACTTAAATATTCGGATAAAAGGAGTGAAACCTCCCTTGTGCGTGAACTCCACAATTTACGACAAACTAATCAGACTGTGCAAGAATTTTATGGTTCAGTTATAGAGCTACAGGCAGCAATAAATAATAATATATCAATTCATGAAACTAACAAACATGTCATAAACTCGAGGCGCGAATTTAACGCTAAAATGTGCTTAGATGCATTCTTAATAGGCCTCCGAGAACCCCTTGGCTCAATGATTAGGTCTATGAGACCCGATTCATTAGATGAAGCATTAACATTCTGCATTCAGGAACAAAATATACAATATTCAAGAAGACTAACTTACAACCAACCATTCTACCAACCAAGGTATAGACAGAATACACGGAATTATGCCCCTGCTCGTAATTACCAACCAAATATGAATAACACACATAGATTTACACACGGACAAATTCACCATTACGCACAAAACAATATAAATAGATTCCAAAACACGGTTAATACTCAGGGAAGAAATCAATATAATCCAATAACTAATGCATTTTCACAAAAGGGACCTCAAGCACCTAATGGAAATACCTTTTCTCACAATGGGTCCGGACAGAGCAAATTCAGCAACTTCAGGCAGCAACAGCTTACGACCAAACCCTTACCACCACCAGAACCAATGGATGTTAGTTCTGGTTATAGTCATTTAAGAAAACCTATGACTACACAAACGAGACAGACATCGTACCTAAACAACGTCAATGTGTCTCAAGCTTACCATAATGATCTAGACGGATATTACCACGGACAAACACATGACAATGACTTCGAACAAAACTACACTTATCATCAAAATGATGATAATGACATGAACGATCTAAAAGACCAACAAAATAATGGTATTAGAACGGAATACGAAAATGTAATAGTTGATAATGAAAATTTTCATATGAATGCCTACCCACACCAACGGGATACTTAGATATTAACAAACATGGACACACATTACCCTATATTAACATATCCTCCCCATTTGGTAGACCCCTGAAATTTTTAATAGATACTGGAGCATCGTCATCATTCATAAACCCAGAATTTGTAAATGACGAAGAGTGTATGACTTGCAAACCAATTACAATCACAACAATTTTAACTAAACACTCACTGGACAAAAAAATTAAACTACCCTTATTTACGGAATTCAAACAAAAAGGAGATACAGAATTTTTTGTCTTCAAATTTCACAACTATTTCGATGGACTAATAGGATTGGACATATTAGATTTTCTCAAAGCTAAAATAGACCTAGGTAACAAAACTCTAGTAACAAGTCAAGCCATCATACCTATTCATCTCAAACCCAATTTCACTTCTGAGAAATTCATTATTCCAAGCTCTTCCAGAGTTGTTATTAATGTACCGGTAGACACACAAAATGGTAGCTTTTTTCTCCCAAGGACTTTTTTGGGTTCTGACCTCTTTATTTCAGAGGGACTGTATCATTCTAAAAAGTGGTACAGCCTTGTGGAAATAGTTAATACTTCTGGACATGATAAAATTGCATACATTGAACAACCAATAAAGACGACACCATACAACGACCAGAATTACATCGAAGTTAATAACTTCAGTTTAGAACACAACTGTATGAATGATAATCATGACATTTTAGATTCGATAAGGACCGGTCATCTTAATAAAGAGGAAAAACAAGCTTTGCTGAAGGTTTGCAAATGCTTTGAAGATGTGTTTTTCAAGGAGGGAGAACAATTGACATTCTCGAATCAAATCAAACACCAAATAAGGACAACTGACGACAAACCCATTTTTACAAAATCATACAGGTACCCTTACATACACAAAGAGGAAATACGCAAACAAATCGATAAAATGTTGCAACAAGGTGTAATTAGAAGAAGTTTTTCACCATGGAGTGCTCCTATATGGATCGTACCAAAAAAATTAGACTCGAGCAATATACAAAAATGGAGACTTGTTATAGATTATCGCAAATTAAACGAGAAAACTGTTTCTGATAAATATCCCATACCCAACATAACTGACATATTAAATAAATTGGGGAGAAGTCTCTACTTCACAACTTTAGATTTAGCTAGCGGTTTTCACC